TTTAGGAAAATGTACAAGAGATTTAAGGAAATAAAAACAATGCCAAACTGCAATTTAAATATGTTACACTTTAAAGGAGAACTTATGAAAAACACAGTATTTGAATTTTGCATCTATCTGCATTAAGTAGTAATGGGAGGAGGAAATCTTTCTCTTTTTAACAATACAGGAAAGGTACTGCATACTCACAATGTATCTAGCATTAAAAAACACCAACATTTATGCTGTTAGTCACTTGTGGAACATAGGACAAAGGCCAAATGCGGTCTGCAAAGGGAAACACTACTTGCACTTTTGTAAAATATCACTTTCCCCTGTTAGTTCTTGAATAACTCTTACGTAGATAAAGTTAGCGGCTTTCTTATAACTCATCTCTCTGAGTTCCAGACCAGGGGTTTTCTTGCCAAACTTTTATTAATAAAATAAAGATGTTGTGTATTTTGGGGGATTTAACAGTACAACCAGCTTGTTAGGGTCTGTTATTAAATAAAACACAGGCCTGGATTCAGATGCTGCTATTCCACATACATCATCACCTTTTGACTCTCAGCCATATCTTATGAAGATTTATTTTTTTATGGTCTTTCTTGATGCTTTATTTCTTTATCCTCCTCAAAGTCATGAATCTCATTCTTGATAAGTATGAACTAAAAATATTCTATTCTTTCTGCTCTGACTCCTGCGTGTTCCCCAGTGTATATATTTACTGGAAATTCGTCTCCTCTGGCTACAGAAACTTTTGTTTCTTAACCACACTAGCTCTAGGTTGTTAGGCTTGTGTGAGCCTCTGACTTGAAATTCTCCCTCTCCAGAGATGGTTTTGTATGCAAGCTGTTGCTTGACTCCTGCCATTTGTCCTTTGAAAAAATGCTGCATATAATTATTGCAAAGACTTGACAGGTACAAACTTCAAAATGAATAAAACCGCTTTACGAATTTAGGAAAAGCCTACTGGATTGACATGCAAGTAAGCTGTTTTGAACCATCTCTTGGTAAAGCATTGGGAGTTTTCCTATATCATTCATGTTTTTTCAACAGACAGGTACTTTCCATTTGCAGCTAGCAGGACAGCAGGTGGTCTGACTACCACAGGTAAGCTGGTCTTTTAGGAAGCCTAGGCTCAGCCCCACTTGTTTCTAGCTTCCCCTGAATCAAACATACCCAAGAAAAGCACCTTTCTAGGGTATACCCAAGAAGAGCACCTTATCAGCATGGTTGAAAGATCAGGAGAGGGTTGTGTGACTGCAGCACCTGCTGTCACAAGTGCCATGGAGGCACCAATGTTGAGATGCTCTACAGTGGCCAGGCAATGAAGGTCTACTGTCCTACCAAGCTCAGGGAAGGTCTTTGAAGACTATCAAGCCCCAGACGAAGTCAGATGGCTAAACCTGTACTACATGCTCTATCCCTGTATGGTAGACCTAAAGCCCTGCTACAAGACAGAGCAGAGCAAACCTAGAGAGGCCCAGGAAAAAGGGTATGGGGGTATACAGACTCTTCTACCACTGAAATGGAAGGGGCTTATGACTTAACCAGAAGGACCTCTCTGCACTAAGAGCATCTCAGCGGCCTCAGACCCCAAGGAAGACTGTTAGCCCAGGGGACACGAAGGTGGACAGCTCTGCATTCTGGGATGAGTTGAGGTTGTGGCGGGCCAGTAGGGGGCGCTCCTGCATTGAGCCGCCCACCTCCCTGCGCCTGACCACCTTCCAGGCTCTGAGTGCCTCCCTTGGGGAGCCTCACGTCTGGCCGACCCCTTCCCTGGAGCACACCCGCTAGTCTGGGGTTCCCGCTGCCACCATCCAAGGCTCTGGACTCACTTCTGGCTCTGCGCACCTTGGAGAACACAGGCCTGATTGTCCAATGGGTGCTAGACCCAATACCAGCACTTGGGGCACTTCCCCAAGTCAGGGGCTTATTAGGAAAGTCTCCCTTAGTCCGCAGACCTAAGGGGCCTCCTCGGCATAATTTAGACCCCTGTAATTTATGGATTACAGGGGGTAGGACAGAAACAGGGTAAAAGGAAGAACAATATCAGAGGAATATCAGAGGAATCCCATACAGCAAACCAGGGTGACTGATGGTAGCCTTTTAAACATGCATCTGAGTTACTGTAAGCTAAATATCTAGTCTGATCTCGAGCAGCTTACTCACACGCATCATCCAGAGGTGGTTGGAGTTTTCCTCTGGAGGCAGGCCACTTTTGGAGCATGCGGTGACGAGGAGAGAGCAAGTTTCAGATGGTGAAACTCCTCTCCCAGTTCAGATTCACCTGGATGACCGCATGGCTAATGGCTGCCCTTCTTCCTGGCCCAGGCCTTTTTATAACCTCTCTGACCTCAGCAGCCCGGTCCAATCGAAGCTGCCAATACTGGCCACAAGCCAACCAATCTACCAAGCATCCCTGGCTACCTGGGCCCGTGCGCAGGGCCGGGCTTTTCCCCCCTGCCCAGGTGACCAGAGCATTCAGGCACCAGGCTTTTGTCATGCAGACCAGGGAGGGAGATCCCCGCCCTGAGGGATTCAACACCAGTCTCTCACGCTGGCAGAGACAGGTCTCTGGAGAGGGGCATCGACGGTGGCATTTCTGCCACAGAGGTTACGACGTTACACTGGCCCTGAAACTACGAACAACTGTCACTCACTGCACCGCACGAAACAAGACGTGATGCCTCTCCTGTAACATAGTTCAGGGATCAGCACACCCCCCTAGCTGATTTGAATCTTCTCTTCTCCCTGAAGGAATGTGAAACCACATATCCTACCTCCCAGGACCCTGGCCTAACCTGAGGTGGGGAAACTTGGTTCAAATTCCTACACTGAATCATACAGGAAATGGATTTGCAGTCCAGCACATGTTCTAATCCCTGGGTGATTCTTAATGTCCCACCTTGTATGAAATATTAGAGACCCAAGTCCAACTCCCTTTCAGGTGGGTGCTCACACAACTGAAGTTAGGCACAGAAAGGGCATCTGCGGCCAACTTCTTGGATTATAGACCCTACTCCCATCTGTGCAACACATGTTGCTCTTATGAGCATACTCAGAAGAGATCTGCTCAGCCTTTTATGCTCTGTTGTGACCCTAACCCATGCAGGGAGGCACATAGCTTCATGTAAGATCCCAAAAACATACAGCTAGCAACTCTTCAGAGGAGGAAGAGAACGGGCCTCCCATGTGGTAGGCCACCAGTCTCATGTTTAAGGCACTTGCACAGGCAGTGAGAAACCTGCCCACCCCACCTTGCCAAAGGGAGTTTGGACCTACATCTCCTGCTTCCTTGCAACAAGCTCTAAGCCCCAGGCCACTGTCTAGGCAGGGCCAAGCGCACTTTTCACCCCTCCTATTAAAGATGACCCAGAGGGGAGAATATGTGGGGCCTGGAGGGCAGCAAAGCACAGAAAATACGGTTCAGTGAGCTTTGCCCTGCCTCAGCAGACTGGGCCCTGGGTTTTGGCATCTGCCTCCAATTGCGTGTCTGCTTTTTTGCCTTTAATAGTCATTGGATAAAATGGAGTAGCAGTGCAGTAGTTAATAATACTGCATCTTTTTGGCTAACCGTGGGCCACTGATCTCATCCATGCACAGCTTCCCCCCTCTCCCAGTGCCAGGGCCTCAAAACAGTCACAAGCTTGAATCTGCCAAAGTAGGGAGTGAGGAAAAACAGGGGAAGATGGAGTATAGGCTAGGGGAAATAAGGGAGGTGATCTGGTCAAGACAGTAGGAAACACTAGTCTAGGGCTCTGCCTAGGGATCCTCTGAGTTTCCCTAGCCACCCTCTCAACTGGTACAGCTGATGTCAACATTCACCCTGCCTGATGCTAGCTCTGCTGTAAGCAGAAAGGCCTATACACAGGAGTAAATCAGTGGGTGGAAACCAAAAGCAAGGGGTAGCTCCCTAGCAGTGATACCCAGCAGGTTCTGCTCAAGGGTGTAACATTACCACTGTAGCTGTTCCCAAGCTGAACTTCCACTCCCCCCTGCAATGGAAGCAGAGTTCGTTTCAGACTCACATCGTGTCATCATTATTGTGGCTATCAAATATATTTGGGAAGGCTTAATCCCCCCAAATGTTCTAATGGGAGTTGGGCTTGTGGTTCCAGGAAGGGAGCTTGGCGGGGCTCCCTGGTGCAGCTAACCTGGATTACTCATCTCAGATCCACACAGATTGAAATGCAAAGGGAAGGAACTGCCAGTGCCTAAAAGGAGGAACAGCTGTGAGAAGTCTGAAGGGGCTAGTGCAAGAATAAGTGCACTAAAGCTACTGTATATGCTGTTGCAAGCACTAGAGATATTGTTGCTTAATCAGTGATGCAGACGCCTAGTAATGACTTTAGACTGGCCCCATAAGATTTCATCTTGTTGATATGGTTTGCTGTGGGGCAGGGAAGAGATTTGCCCAGTCAGCCCCTGTCTCTGGGGCTGAAGGAGCAAGGTTTATGCAAACTTTACGTAAGTATAATGCACAGGGCAGTTCTGATGAGTTCTTTGTGATGGACAAAGCTGAGAACGACTTCTGCCAAAGAGCGGCAGGACTCTCCTCACCCTCTACACATGCTGTTGCAGCTACACATGTGGATCAAGTGACCAAAAGCACCTCAGGTCACTACCACTTTTACAAACATAACCTGTCTGACCTGTGACACTCAGGACTGTGACTTGGGACAGGCCAGACCTCAGCCCAAATATGCTGGAGAATCACAGAGGTACACGTTCGTTTGCTCCATGGAACAAAGGTTACTGGTAGCACCGATAGGATATACGGCAGTGCCTCATAAAACCTCCATGTGCACATTCCCTGTCTACAGGGGTTCTGTACCATGGGATGGGCTCTGGGTACTGACACCATGAAGAGGAGAACATGAACTGTCTTTGCCTTGCACACAAATTGTGGGTGACTCCCCTGGCCATTGAGCTCAGGAGCACTCACCCTGCCCCCACACAAGCAATCCATGATGATAGTAAAAATGGCAGAGCCAAAGAAGAGTCCTGGTACTTACAATCAGTGTATTGCTGGAGTTGAGCAAACTCTGTCGGACTGAGGGAGATCCACACACCATCACTCATTTTTCAGGTGAGCCCTTGGGAAGACCAAGTCCACAATAAAGGGGGAATAAAGATCCACAGCAAGGGGTTGTCTTTGGAGCTAGGAGTTGTCTGGGTTCATTGCTGCAGTTCCATGTCCACAGTGTCACAGGGAGCAAGGTACATACTTCACATCACCTCCAGGGCTAGCGCTGAGGTCTCTTCTTTCACAGTCATCTTCACGACCATGACATGAGTGATTCCGTGAGGACAAACTTCAGAGAAGCCAAGCGATGAACTCTACTTCATTGTCTTCTCTCCTAAAATTATAAAGACATGCAAGCAAGTCAATCACTTACAATACCTGTCTGCTTCCTTCTCAATTGCTCAGGCATGGACAGATAGGATGTTTACCCTAGTGTAACCAGCATGAAACCAGTGTTAAAAAAAAAAAAAGAGGGACAGATTAGCTGTCGTAACTTTGACCAATCTAGTAAAGAATTACCCTTGAAAAAGTAAAACTCTGTAGGGACACGTTAGCCGGTTGAAGATGATATCTGTCCATACCCATCTGGGGGTAGCCATTAGCTGAGGGCAACTAGGTATTATCTTCTCCATGCTACCTACAGGTGTGCCACAGTAATAGCATCCTACTGCATGCAGCTTACCTTGAAAATAGCTGCACATCTGTACAGTCCTAATCCCAGTTTTATTTACATGAGTGTTCAAAACAAAAGTAAAATATATTGCGGTACATAAGTACTTGAGGGGGGTGGTTTAATCAGAGATGATCCTGCCTTGAGCAGGGGGCTGGACCACATGACCTCGTGAGGTCCCTTCCAGCCCTGCTCTCCTATGGTGCTACATATTCATCTGTCCATGCCATCAGAGGAATGAGGGCCACACAAGAGTTTAATCAAGGCACAAGCAGCCTGCTGCTTAAACACAAGTAGTCAGCTGGAACTGAACCCATTTCAAGCCATCCTGAAGAGTGAAGCAGGAGAACAGCAAAAGGGAATTGGGACAATAAACCCTAAAGAGGGAACTATCTAGTGCAAGCAAGCAAATTCTTGGTTGGATCTGATGACCAAGTAAGTTGAGTATTTTTCAAGGACCTATGTGAATAAAGCAAATACCTTCTACCAAACTTGGTTGTAATTCATGGTTCTCCAATCAAATCAGAATGAAAGGGCCTTGTTTGCTCATGGCTTGTTCTCTCATTTTATCTGGATAATGAACACATTAACCTGGACTTACAGACACTTTGGCCATAAAACTTTAAAAAGACCTGTGCAAATGCCAAAGTTAATAGGTATTGGTATACGTGGGGGTGGAACACTGTAGGTACAGCAGGGATTTCAGCTGCACAGCCAGTTTTATAATGAGGTGCGGAGGCTGACAGCATATCCGAGTGGTGTATGAAGGGATGGCTTATCTGGAGCAGAATGTACATAATCAAATACTTCCCTAGGGAGGCATGTTTCAGCGTGTGTCAAAAGAAAGGTTATGCGTGTCATGCAACTAGTGACCATCTGACATGGCAACTTGGTCAAATATAGCAAATTTGGATTCAAGCTTGTACCAGGTTAACCAGCTGAAGGGTGACATTTGAACTGCAGCAAAACACCATAGACATTCTTTAATTCAATTCAGATGCATTTTACATTGATTGAACTGAAGGGTTCCCACTGGTTGAACAATCCCTAAACCATTGCCACTTTATATACAGACTACGCCAAAGATGGCTACCACCTTCTGGTATGTTACAAGGGCATCTCAGAAAGGCAATTTCAAAATAAAACCATTTTGTGTGCAATGAGTGGGAAACTACTCAGCAGGGGGAACACTAATGGTGGCACTGTCAAATGTACTCATCATTCATGCCTATGGAGAGAGATGATATGGCACAGTAAACGATTACTGAATACGAAATGGTTCTATTGTGAAATTGCTGCTGCTTTCTGAAGCACTCCCATAGGAAGTCCTGTTCTCATACAGAGCTGTTTAATATAATATTTATTATTTATTTTGATCTTAAAATAACTAAAAAAAGAAACATGAATCATTACTGCCTCTGTATTTCTGACTAAAGCATATATACATTTTTTGAGACACCCTCTTGTGCCCCAATCCCATCTAGACATTAGCTTGAGCATTGAACTGCACAGTCCAGCCAGCTCTACTGGGCCCTACAGCAAAGTGGGATAAGGGGACTGGGATGGGGGGCAACAAAGAGTCTCCAGGAAAAAATAGATATACACACTTTAGTCATCAGGAGTACAGATGTAGCAACTGACAATGATGCTTCTTGTTACCTTAGAAAGTGAGACGCAGCATTTACAATGCATGCTGTTGTAGATGGTCAAAATATCCATCCTGAACAGCCAGACGCTCAGAGTGACACACATGTCCATATACATCTTTTACTGCAAGACAGTTTGTATTATTATTTTTGTATTATAATAACCATAATCAACGTTATCATTATTGTCATTATCATCAACATCATCATTATTATTTGTTACGAGACACCTTGTATTATTCTGATTTCTCCTCCAACCAAGCCTTTCTGTACTGAATCTCTATCAGGGGGAACACCAGGATGTCAGTACTGTAGCCAAGGCTCATGAGCACCCTGCAGGTGACCAGAAATGACTGTTGCATTGATATTGAGATGACAGAGATGGCTAGTTACCAAGAACAGTGCAGGGTTTGTTGGCCATCAGAGTTCCTAGTCCAGCAGGCCACTCGGACAGTAGCCAGTTCAGACTGCCCCAGCAATAGGTCAGACAGAGTGTGGTCATGTCTAGGAGCTGGGGACAACACTAACACTGCTGTCTGGATCCCTCCCACTCTCCAGCCATATACAGAGGCTGGGACCTAATCCTTCTTCCACACTGAAAGATGATTGCCAACGTGAGGAATTTCCTACATCTTAGAAAATGGAAAATACCAGTACAATCTGTAACCTCTCACTGGCAAGAAGTACTGCAGAGCTCCCATTCTGCACTTACTTACGACTTAAATTTCCCAGGGAAAATACAATTTGATCTGAGCAGAAAGGACGACACTATTAATTAGGGAAGCGGGAGGTCAGGAAGCCTTGAAGCCAAAGATGACCTAAACAAGTGGAAACTCAAAGATCGTGCCTTCATCTCTGACCTTGGGAACAGATTCTGAGCTAATAACAGCTTTTATGAAAATCTAAATCAAAAAACAAAAACAAAAAAAATGAGGAGGAGGGAAGAGAGACGAACAACAAAGTAGCTTCCAACAGCACAAAGCCCCCAGAAAACTCTCTGCCACAGAGGAAATGTCAGTGACCTCCTGGAGGTGACAGCCCTGCTGACAATCAATGTGCAGATGTGACAACCTGTTAGTTCCTTGGCTTAAACTGATAGACTTGGGGGAGAAATATTTGGGAAACATCTGCTTTCTAAGAAGGTGCATGCAGCAGTCTACAGAGCCATTGTCTAGGAGAGAGGTGAGGATGACCTTAATTTTAGGCCCATTTCCCTGACAGATGCTGAATGTCAAGTTCAGCAAGTCTCATTTTACTAGAGGGCCAAATGGGTGCAGTGGGATTTGTGAGACCAGGAGATTTTGGGTGTCCCTGTACTAATCTATCTTGAAAGGAGCATAGCTGAGAGCATGCCACCCTAGTCCCTTTCCTGGGGAGTGCAACGTGCTCCCCTCCCCTTCTCTTCTTCGTCAGGTGAAGGTAAACTAGCCGCTCAGTTCCTGGGATTCCTCTGAGCTATCCCTGGAATCCCATGACTCGGAGGCTACAAGAGATCAACTGAGGGCAGAAAGGCCCTACCTACCTTTCCAGGCCAAAGCTGTCCAAATAGCCAGTGATTCCTATAAGGGTCTGCTCGCTCTGAAACGCTTAACTGATAAGTGATATCATATCCCCCCATAAGTGAATTTGCATGTAGTGCATCCACTGGAGTGGCCAGATCTCACAGATACAACCAACATCTACAAGACTTCTAGAGCAAGCATTTCCTTGAAAGGTTTTAAGGACTGTTTAGCACTGCTTTTCAGGTGGGTCGGTGCATTTCTGCATCTAATCGCATAAACTAGATTTTCCAAACAAGCAGAATGTCTCTTCCTGCCGAAACGAAGTGGAATGTTCTCCCTTCCGTCTGGCCTAAAAGCCAGCCTACAGCCTCTCTCATTTTCCATCACTCAAACAGATTCCCTTTTTGATCAGCTTTTTTGCAAAGAGGAAGCTCCTACCTTCCGTTCTCTCTCCACAATCCATTAAAAAACGAGTGGATGGAAGTAGACCTCCAAAATGTTCTGGTTTTACAATCTCATTTTCCACGTCTTGCCCAATGTCCCCATGTCTGTTTCTTGAAAATCCTATCCAACTTGGGAAGAGATATCAGGGGTGGGAGATGGGACAGCATTTCACAGCACTTCTAAAACTTTGTCAGTTTAATCAGAGGGGGGATGGAAATCTTCAACACCATAATCCTTATGCTTCAAGCAGTGGTAGATATTTTCAGTACTGCATGTAGGTAGGTACACAACCAGATCAAACTGAACATCAGCTTTAGTGGAGGGGAAGTCTGTAAATATTTACATAATTGAACAGCTCCACTATGTTCCACGGGTCTATGTTTGAGCGCTTCCAAGGCATCTAAGCTAGCATCGAGCTCTTAGGAAACATGAGGTCAGCAGAAATGGAAGAAATAAAGCATCCAGGGGAACATTCAGAATCCAGATCTTGCAGTACAAGTCTGCAAGGCATGAGAACTGGCCCGTGAGACTGACTGGTCTATTGTTTTTACTGAAGAGGAGACATGGTAGCACACCCTACATCAGACAATGTGAACATAAACCAGTCTATTAAAATTCTGCAAGGGGAAGTATCTGCAATCAAAAATAAATGGAGGATCAGATTTTTAGAAAGGTTCAATGCACTGAATGCAGAACAGGGGCAGAGTGCTCTGGCCTGCATTTAGGTACGCAAGAGAGCACTAGTCTCTGGGGGAAAAAATCTGGCTCCACATCAGAGACAGATACCTGGCATCTACCACTGATGTCTCCAGGTGCTCACCACTACTTTTGATCCACCTGTCTTTTAGCAACCAGAAAAGACATTATTAGTCCACAGAAACACTCTACAGAAGCCACAAAATGAATCTGTCTGTGTCTCTGGCCACAACAAAAAATTCATCCTTGGAAAAAGGAAAGTCCTGCTAGTACTTTCTGTGTGAAAGCCCTTCTGCTCACTCTTCTTGGGGACAGAAGAAGTAGGCAATTAAGGAAGGAAAATTTCAAAAAACCAAGACATGCCCAAATTTAACTGGATAAATTATTTACAAAGAATTCATCCAGCATCAGGATGTTGCTCCAGAGTTGGCATTCAGAGAGATTTGCCTAAAATGAATTTGAGTAAAGCTTCTGGTTTAAAACATATCTCTAGATTTTCTCTTCAGACCTGGTGAGCCCCTCCATGCCCTCTCTGTGGCACCATCTAGTCCGACAGTCAAGAGCTCCAAGCTTTGACCTGAGTTGGCAGTTTGCTTCATGGGAAGGTGGTATTTAACTCTCAGGCAACGGACAGAAGAAACGCTACAAAGATAAAGGCTATCCAATATAAATGTGCCACTTACATGCATCTTTTTGTCCCTTGACCTTCATGCACAACAAAAATATTGGGGGAAAACAGCATTGTTCCCAATGAGGCATGAGACCCTGAACAATCAGCCTAGGCTGAAGTTACTCAGCCTAGGAATCAGCATTAGCTTGGAAATACCCAATTCTTTAAGCTCAGCGTTGGAAGAGGTCTAATAATGGACAAAGTCTGGGCAGTGGCCAGAATGAGATGCAGAGGGAAAAACTGCATCACAAACTGCAAAGACGTCTCTTAAAGAATATTACACAGGGATCCCTGCTGACAGAAGCACATTACAGTGGAAGGCCTAATTCACCACTGGAAAGGAGGATTACAAAATTTTGCCAAGATATAAGAAGGCTGTTGTGCGTTCTCAGTAGTGTGGGAATCTGCTAGCAACAACATGGTCCGGACTGCCTGCATCTGCTCACCTTTCCACTGCCCTCCCCCTTTCATGTGCTAATAATCTGAAGAATTCTCTTGTCAGGCCAAGTGCTTGGTTTCCAAGGGGAGGTGATTTGGAAAACGAATCACCCTTTGAATCACATATGGGCAAAAAAAGTCACTTATCCAGTTCGGACAACTTGAACATACAGGTTTTGCCCACCCACAGTGTGACCCTCTCAGGCTGGCTTGCTCTCACCAAAGAGCGAAAGCCCCATCCTGTGGCTATCAGTTGCAAGACTCCTACTGACTTCAGTAAGAGCAGGATGGGGCTCTGCACAGGCTCTGCACTGCCTGTGGTGCAGCGTCTCGCTGGGACAGACCAGCTTCCTCTTGTAAAAGTTTAATAGCCGTAGACACTATTGCTGCTCTGCAACTGGCTCAACTGTTACTGTTTTCCCTTCATAAATCACAAGTAACATGTGTCCAGTTAACATGAAATAAACAAATCCGTGAATAAACGTGGTCCAGGGCTCCAATACACTGTGCTATCAGGCTCCAGGATGGAAGCGTGACTTCCACGATACAGCCCCAACACCTCTGATTAAACCCAGAGTGGAGCAGAGGATACCATATCGTGTGCAAGCTTAGACCAGAGGGGTTTGAGGAAAAAAAGGACAGGAAAGGGGGACAGTTCCCAGATGTCAGGGCTGCAGCGATTCCAAATAAACAGTCAAGTTCTGAGAGCTGCCAAAGAAAACCATCGTTGCAGGGAAACATCTCAAGAGTGAGGGAAGCATTTTTGTTGCCCCTGTGCTGGATGCTAATAGGTGAGAGACAGCTCCAGGGTGGCACTGCTGTTGTTGAGGAAGCATACAAGCTAAAAGCCCTTGCATGACCTACCCCACCGTGCCGTACCAGATGCCAGTTAGACGCCAGATCAGTCCTTCTAGTCATTAACTTTATGGCACCAAGGAGCTGCAATTTGTGGAGTGTGGGTAGAATTTCAGCTTGGATGCCAAATGTCCTGGCTTCTGGCAGAGTTTAAATGCATCCTTAAACCTCCGGAAAATAGCTGTTCTTTCCTTTTACCCCTGGTTAGAAGACAATCCTTACTGGAGTACCACTGCCTGGGAGTAAGATGGATCATGTAATATGCTTGCTCTGCACTAGTGTTAGATTATCTGAGAGCAGTAACAATTACCTACCATCCTGCTTCTCTACTGCCGAAATGATATGTTAGGCTTATAAGGATAATGTGACCTGCATTAACAAGATGGTCTCCACCATGGATGGAGTCTATGATCTGAAATGCCAGATCTGAAGGTTAAACACCCCACTTCCTATTCTACCTACAGGGTTCAGGCTTCTCTCCCCCAACCGGTCACCTGTTTCTTCCGCT